TCCAGACCTAATTTCTTGGCTCTGCCTTTCGATATCAAATCATACCCACATCCTGTGTCCATGATGAACTTTGTTCTTGACCCTTTGGCTGGAATAGACAATGTCTTTGTGTCTGCATGATCTTTCTTTCCCTCGCATACATGAGGAATGACTTTATGATGGAAAACTAGGCCGTCATCTTCGTCAAAAGACATAGTGACCGCTAGGTCACCCTTTGGTCCAACTGGTATTCGGACCCTCTTGATCTCAGTGTAGGGGACCATCAATATGCCTCTTGCCTCTGCGACCTTTTCTTCAAATCTGATTTGTTCTTTCCTCGTGTAGCAGGTGAGCTCTTTCTCATCGTATCGTTTGATGTCTGGACGTAGAGGTTTCCTTTCTACTACCTTCCATTTGTTCCTGACTGAGTAGATCGCTTCGTTCAACATGATCTCACAAGTCTCTTCATCAAAGGATACTTTTGCACCTCCTTCTCTTGCCTTGGCGGATGCAGCAATCCCTTCATCTTCGGATTCGTCCATGAAGAGTTCACCGTCAATGGCTGGGGCTCCAGGCTTCGCCTTAGGCTTCGGTTTGGGTTTTGCCTTGGGCTTTGGCCTATCGTCTCCTGAGTCAGCTGGTGCAGATATCCCTTTCTTAGGAGAGGCTTTTGGGTCATGGTAGAACTTGCAATCCTTCCCTTTGTCACAAGTTCCTCGAATCCACATCCAACATACTGGCTTGTCATTCTTTCCGACAGAAGATCCTCTGGATGGTGATCTGGGTTTCTTGTGACTGAATGGGCAATCTTTCCCCATAGTGCAGTTACCTTTCACGAAGTATTTGCATGGTATCTTCTTCTTGTCTGTACTCGGACTTCGGCTGCGATCCTTTCCATCACCTTTACCTTTCCCCTTTCCCTTTTTGTTCTTGTCTTCAGGATGCTTCTTGGGATTGGGTTTCGGCTTCACTGCAGCAGCGTCTTCTGAGACAACCTGTTCTTGTTGCCCTTTTGGTTTCTTCTTCGGATCAGCTGGTGCAGCTTTCAGTTTTGGAGCAGGTCCGCCTGGTTTGAGATTCTGAAAGATATTGGCCACATTCTTCACTGCCTTCTCCTTTTCCAGGATCATCCTGTCTTCAGTTTGCCGTTCGATGTGCCTTCTGATCATATCACGTAGATGTTTGTATGTCTTCTTGGCATCATCGTCGTTCATGCTGTTGTAGGCGCTGATGTCATATGCCATGAGGTTTGAGTTCCTGATCTTTCTCCATAGGAGATCCCGAAGAGTTTCGTCGCTCGGGACGTCAACGGGCTTCATTCCTGCCAGAATCTCATCCCAAGTGTGGAAGAACAACGATAAGTTCTTGTCTCCTTGATATTCTAGTTGGTAGAGGTGCATTGAAGTATATAAGACTTCCACATTTGATGTTGTCTTGAAATTCATAAGGATCAGGGCTAGGACCTCTCTTCCCTTTATGAGGCTTGATGTTCTCCCTTTTGCATTGATCCTCGTCCTCAACTTCATAGCTACACCTGAACCATCATCTTTCGCATCCATGACGACCTTGGTAAGAGCTAGGCCGAGTTTGGCATCGATTGAATGGAATCTTTGGTCTCCTGAGTCGACAAACTTGTCCGGATCAGGATCGTCCATGGCTTCTTTGATCCAGTCGATCCAGGGCTCTTGATCTGAATCATTGGCCGCAATGATGATCGATTGAATGAGATTTGCCTTCCATAGTCCAAGATCATTGATCCTGGGCCATGACGGAACGTTTATCTTTGATTCTTCCTTCCTCGATACTTTCATGATTGTAGAGGTTGCCGGTGTAAGATGAGATGAAGAGGATGCTTCTGCTTCTGAAATCTTGTCCCTCAATGATTTGTTCGCCTCGGATAGCTCAATTGATTTCTCCCTTTCCTCGGCGTACTCATTGTGGGTTTCGGCATACCATTCATACATCTCATCTCGGCTCTCTGTCATTTCATTGTACCCGTCCTTGTAGTGCTTCGCCTCCTCTTTTGCGTTCCGAATCTCATCTTCCTCGGACGCGTGGGTTGGTAACCCGCGGTCTCTGGAACTAGGACGCTTGCTGTACCGAGAGACTATGGGTGCCATTCGTGCTTCTGCTTTTAATTTCGCATTTTCCATAATGACATTCTTTGTCTCCTTCTGGCTTTCCAATAGTGCATTCTCCAGTTCTCTGATCTTCTGTTGAATTTCAGCACCATCATCGCCGAACATAGGAGCTCTCATCATATTCTCTCTTTTCAGCTGTGCGTTGGCTTCGGATAGAGCGAGGTTGGCGTCTTTCAACTGTTGTCGTTCACGGATGGAACCTTCTAGGACTTCGTTGTTGAATATTTCTCCTTTTGCGATAACCTCCTTTGCGACGTTTGCTTCGTATTCATGGTGGCTCGCCTTCATTTCTGCCATTTCTTGAGCAGAGACTTCAGTCTGGCATACAAATATCTCCATCCTCATGCCCACTTCCATCTCTTCTATCTCCGCTCTCGCGTTGAGTTCAGCTCCACGTGCCATAGCTAGTTGACCTCGTAGATGATCAATAACCATAGCTTCCTGATTGCTCTGATCTTGAGATGAGTGAACACTGTGTTGAAGACGTCTTTCCCTGACCTCACTGTTCCATTGTTCTTCTCTCTGGTGTTGGATCATCTCGTGCATGTTGACATTCTCATCCTGTAGCGCAATCATTCTAGCTTGTATCTGGTCAGCTATTCCGACGAAGGCTGTGTTCTCATCCTGAATGGCTTTTGATCTTCTATTGATCGCCAATGAAGATTCATTCTGTTCTTGGATGTGTCCAATTGCTGCTTGAAGCTCTTGGGACATTCTGTCCTTCGTTGCTTTCACAGATTCAAGCTCTGAATGTTCTTGATGAGTTTCTTGTGCAAGCTCTTGATATCTCATGTAGATATGTTCAGCTGTCGATTCCGCCAAGCGTAGCTTGTGTTCGAGCTCTTCAATTCTTATTGTCGCTCCTTCATCTTCCTGTGTCATCTCTTGTAGATGTTCCTGCATCTTCCTGTTGTAGTCAGACATTTGCCTGAACTCCACTTCAGCCTCGTGGTGTAGTCGTGAGTATCCGGCTTGGATGCATTCATATTCTTCATGAAGAAAGTTGTATGCGTTTCTCGCCGATCTCAATTCTTCACCCAGCTGAATCTCTCTTCTTTGCTCTTTTGTTCCTCTATCATCGTCACGTCTCTTCTCTATACTCCTTCTTGGGGATCTCGCGGTAGACGTTATAGGCGATGTAGATCTTGTTGTAGCTCTCATCGATCTTCTTGGTCCTACGGGTGCAAGATCGGTCAGATTCCGAGCCGGTGGCACGGATCTTTCCGAGATTTGTGATCCAGTAGGCATAGTGATATCGTCAGCATTTGCTGATGAATCAGTACCCATTGTAGAGTCTGGTGACGAAATGGTGTTGGGACCACCAGGAGCAGCGAATGAATAGGGTTCGCTTCCATTTCCTCCTGAGCTTGACATTGCAGGTTTCTGTAATGACTAGTCTTGTTCTTGGTCTCGTGTAGCTCGTACGGCTATAAAGAGCGCGTACGGCTGATAACCTGCGAGTGGATCTTAATCAGCGAAGTTTGAAGCTATCACTGACGATCCATAAGCGGCGTAGCGTCGGAACGGAAACCGCACCTTTTCTAGTCGCTTGATCCTTGAGCCAAAGTACATATGGTACATATATATGTACAAGTTGCACTGTACGTGTCGCTGCACTTCCATTCGCATATAGCAACTAATAATACACATATTATTCCTTTTTTTGGACTTGCTCCCGGGAATCCTGAGCTGGTACCATTGGAGGACACAACGGAGGACTCCAAATGACTCCACTTGTACACATAATATCATGTACAGTGTCCAAGATCCAAGATGTCCGTACCCCCAATGACGTGACAAGTAGCTATAACGTGACTTATATACATCGATCCTGAAATCCAACGCACCAGCTCTTGAGAATCTGCGGGTGTCCCAGCACATACACATACACACACACACGTAGAGCACCCAAAAACGTGGGATGGGTTTTGGCTCATTCCCTCTTTTGGTGCACCTCCAAGGTCTGTGAAAGACAGTTATTTCCACTTGAGTCGCATATAACAGTTTCTAGATATGACAGAAGGAGTCCAATAAAGAAGCCGACACGGTCGAACACAAATCCATGTCTGTGAAAAGGCATCGGCCTTTTTGGCGGGAGAAGTGCCCAACGGTGGGCCGTGGGGTCAACCAATCGGACTCCCAAACGCCGCGAACGGTTCTCCTCCCCTGGTAGTCTGTTCATGTGAACGTTTGGCGGTGAATCCGGGTCCCCCTGGTTTTTGACATGTTCTGAGACACAGCCACCCCTTTGAGTTACAACTGGCAAAGCCGCATCTGCCACAACTCGAAAGGATTTTTCATGAGATTGTTGCCCAACTCCATGTCAATCCCCTAAATAACAACTAACTCCATACACAAATCATCACAAATCGAATTACAATATCTGTGTTTCATACTCCTTCTCATGGTGCCCTTCTGATATGCAATAAATCAGCCAGATCGCTCCCCTCCCGACACAAACGCCAAGGCGCTCCGGGAACAACCCCCTGGACGTCGGATGGCGGAGTGAATCGCTTTCTGTGAGGTAAAGCTCTCCCGAACCGGAGAATGTCCAAACGTGAGCCCCCGTGAGCTAGCTGCCCGGGGCAAAAAACATGCAAATGACATTCAATGACTATCGGCTAAACAGGGTATGCCCTTCCGTTCTCCGAAAGCAAATGTTGCTGCCTCCGACTCCAATTGGTAGGATTCTGCAAAAGGTTCACGCTGATCCGAGCTGAGCTCAACTGCTTCCTTCTACACAAACAAAACACCTCTTAGAAGACGGGCAAGGCAAAGTCTTGATGTAGGACCCCACCTCCGAATTGACATTGAATCTAAGGAGTTGAATCTCCGGTCACGCCAGCCGTAGCCGTAGACGCGTTCGATCCTGTTCACCGCCCGCCTGTTGGTCGATGGTGATGTGACCAAAACCTCTCCATTTGTTGTAGTCGGCAACCTGAGTTGCGTCAGGCAGGACTCAAAACATATGTCATAAGCTCCGACGGAGCCTAAGGCAATGAGGATCATGAGGCTTCAGAAATGCGTTGGATATATAGCTGTACATGATGCAGCCCAGCAATAAGCGGGTCGGACACAAATCAAGAACCTCTCGCTCCCTGAAAAAGAGGACACTTTGGACCGCGACCCCACTACGATGGCTTTGTCGCAGGCCTCGCGGCCGTGGTCATGACACTAACCCGGCTTGCTGCACACCAACTATTACTTTAACCAGGCTGTGACTGGAACCAACTACCCCTAGCATCAGGAACACAAATAAGATATAGCCATAGCTTTAATTGTATCTACATGTATTTATAATTTACCATCGGCACCACGCCTGGTGCAAAACAATTTTTTTTTGTTGAAAACCGGGTTTTGTATATCACAACCTTCTTTTTGAGAGCAGGGTGCCAAAAAAACAGTTTTTTGATACTTGAGGACTTTGTACCGCTGAACGCAATCATGATTTGTAGCGGCTGAGCACTGGACTTGAGCATGTGTGTTTCACCCAGCAAGTGCAGAACTACTTGCCGGGTCGATGGCTTTCTAATGCTAGCTAAGTTTGACGTAGACATATATAAGTACTTAGGAGCGACTGAGTGTGGACTTGGCTAAGGAAGACTTAGCTTCGATTTAGGGTTGACTCAGGCTGAATCGTGGTTGAACTTAGGTTGGGCTGTCCGAGCAGGACCCCAAAAAGTCTAAGCCAAGTCTTCCGACGTGTTTTTTCTTAATTTTGAAAGGAACATGCGAAACACATTGTTTGACCATGTTTAGTCTTACAGGGGATATGCGCCAGACAAATCTTTGAATGGTTCCCTGTCACTTTAGTCTTAAACTCTTTTAGCTAGGACTTAGCTTAGACTAAGCCTGGACTTAGGTCAGATTGAGTTTCGACTGACCAAGTCCAAGCTAAGGCCAAGTTTGCCTTATTTGACTAAGAAATTACAAACATCTATAGAGTTAACTCAGTCCAAGATAAATCAAACCTAACATTTATAGAGGGTGAGAGACCAAAAACAAGGGTTACTGTAGTAGGTTAGCAGGTTTATGACATATTTATATCATAAGTATATATATAGAGAGAGAGAGGCTGTAAGTCCAAGATGACGATATACCCGTCGAGTAGAATGATTGAAGCTGCAGCACAAAGCTAATGACCATACTTTTCCAGGAACACATCCGCAATGAGGTGGAAATGCAGGAGGAACCATGTGGAACAATACCTCCGTCCGTGGGAATGTCAATCTTTGGATCCCAGATCGTTGGAGGGGTCACCGGGGTCACCCAATGCAAAAAGACTTGTCAGACCACAAGTTGGCATTGTTTGCAATTACTGTAATGTGTTGCGGTCATTTTTTAGCGCTGGGACAGGCCAGCAGTTGGAAATCCGGGTTTTGAACCGTAGGCGACCCGTAGAATTAACCGAAGCCGTAGACATCCCATAGAAACCCCGTAGAAAACCCATAGAAACCCGTAGAAAAGTATGCAATTTGGCCATAGTTTTGGAAGTCCTGGGATGTTGGGTTTTGAATGGTTTTTGAAAGCTCTTGGCCTGATCCGAGCGTTCCTGGCTGCAGCCCGAGAGAGGGGTGCTTGCTGGGCCCATGGCTACCTAAGTGTAGCATAGTCTAGCTAAGTCTAAGGTAGACATATATAAGCACTTAGGAGTGATTTAGCGTGGACTTATCTAAGGTAGACTTAGCTTTGATTTAGTTTTGACTCTAAGCCTAAACAAGTCCAATCTTCGCCTAAGCAAAGTCTAAGCCTAGCCCCAGCGGTCTTCTGACAGTCAGTTTTGTCTTAATCTTAAAGGGAATAAGTTAAGCGTGTGAGAAAAACATGTCTGACAGTTGTTCCCTTCATATACTTCAGCCTTGAAAAAGGCAATATGTGTTATCGTCAACTTTTCAGACAAATTGGCTAGGACTTAGCTTGGACTTAGTTTGGGCTCAGTTTGACACTTAGGTTGGACATGGGTTGGACTTACTATCTCCAAACTAAGTCCGAGTAAGTCTTAGACTTAGTTTTGACATACTAAACGATACCTAAGCACTTACTGCAACCAAAGGTACCCTAAATCAAACCTAGCCTTTACAAAGGTCAAGACACTCAAAACAAGGGTGACCATACAAAAAATAAAAATATTGATACTTCAGAAGACTTATAAGCTATAACGGGTTATAAGTCCAAGTTAGCAAAATAATACATCCTGCGTGTGAACAAAGCCTTAATTAAGACCTTCAAAGGTTGTGATGATTCCAGTGCTGTGTTCGCATCAGCAAATGGCCACTTCCAACAGCTACAGTTGCGCCGGTTGCTTTCTTCAGCGATGATGTATTTGAATGCTACATATATACAACTACATGCATTAAGCTGTGGCTTGTCGTTTTCTGCGCGGATGATGCGTGGAAGGGTGTTGAGTTGGGAACCAAGGTCTCCTGTATCCATGTAAAAACTTGCACGGAAATCATTGTCCAAAAACCGGGTTTTCAATCCACAACCCTAAAAAAACAGGTCGTAAGATAGAACCTTTCTTTTTCATGGTGTTGAGGGCTCATGATATAATCTATATTGTATAAGCTATATTATATATTTTCAGCACTTTACAGTGCAAACACATGAAACATCATGAAGCGATGACATGCATGTGCTGCTTGTAGGACTCTTTCAGCTTCAACAAATTGGGCACCAAGTCGTGGGTGCCAAGTAGCTGTGCCAGTGTATCTGGCATCCTGGCGTTGCTCGTTGGGCCAAGCGCTAGGCTGCTCGTGCTCCGGCTGGATGATTTGATAGCTAGGGGAAAAGAAAAACGACTGGCAACGTCAAGTTCACCATCCCAAAATGCCATGACTTTGGTTCAACAAAGGCCCACAAGCCCCAAACTTGCTCCACAGACCTGTAGAATTGAATGCATTGAATCGTAAAGTCTTAGTCGCTCCTATAGGATAAAACAGCACCCTCCCTCGGTGCAAATCCCAAACAGTTCCACCGTGTTCTGCCACCCAACTCCTGGAGGCCGTCCGGCGTCTGTCCGCGGCTCCGCACCGGTGTCGGTCCCCCCCCGAGTCTCCGGGCCTTGTCAACGGTAAAGCCCTCCGGCAACTCGGCGTCGGCCGCGTCGCCTGGACACATGGAGACCACGCGTTCCTTCGCTGCGCCGTGATGAATCGAGTCACCGGGCTCAAAGGGGGCTGTTGGACCTAGGTTAAGGGCATCGCTTCCAAGGACGCTACGAGAACTAGTAGCTCCCGGCCTTATTACTATATAGTAACAAGAAGCGACTAGGAACATCTAGGAACAAGGGCATCGCTAGTAGGTTAGGAATCTGTGTGTTAAATTCCATGTATTTTCCCCCGTGTTCATTCCTTTGTCGGTCCCAAAAAGCCCTTCAAGTGCCCTGGCCCGCCTGTCGCCATGTTGGATCGGTTCCAGTCCTATCTATTGAACCGCACCGCTGCGGGGCCAGGCAGGACCGACTCATGGCGACCCCTGGGTGTCAAAAGCATGTGCTTCAAAAATCAGTAACACGGGAAGTCGGGTGTTGGTCAACACATGCAACATCGGTAACACACGGTAACGCATGTGTTGATCATTGTTCCATGGTGACTGGCGTTGAACTCTGAGCATCTCAGAACTCTGAAACCCACAGGAACAAGACCGAACGAAGGGTCCCTGCATGTGTCCGTTCTTGACCGGCGCAACCCGTCCTTGGGACGGGACATGCATTCTTCATGTTACCAATCATTTACGATCCAAGGCCCCCTGACTGAAGATCCCAAACTTGCCAAACATCGGCTTAAAACGCTCCTTCCTAAGCAGTTCTATTGGTTGCAAAGGCTCACACGTTCACGGCAAAAAACACATAATTCATACTATAACCGTTTCGTTTTTCGTTGCACACTGCTGATGGTCTCAACGAATTGGTGACGTGGCGACTACAGTTACTGAGCCACTTGGAATGGTCTCTGGCGGCCCCACAACTACACCCCACCCCATGCTGTAAGTCTTCCCCATGCGCACATACCAGCAAGGACCAGACACTTCGAAAGCATATTTTGGGACACAAAAGGGGCAATTTCGATCCTTTCGCTCTTCAACTCTAAAGGCTTCGACGCTGCAACTTTTGGTTTTGCCGCCGTCCACTGCATCGAAGGCCACCCCGGCCCTCATCGCTTCGACCGCCTTCCTCGTCGTAGCCTGAAGGAGATGGTGGACTGATGGGCAGCGCTGGGTCTATCACGGTCCAGCTACTATACTATACTACATCTATACAGTCTATACTATATTACTACTACTACTACTACCACTACAACTACCACTACCAGTAATACTAGGACGACTACGACTACGACTACGACTACCACTGCTACTACCACTACCACTACCACTACTACTGCTACTAGTAGTACTACTACTACGACTACGACTACGACTACCACTACCACTACCAGTACCACTGCCACCACTACTACGACTACGGCAACGACTACCACTACTACTACCACTACCACTACCACTAGCACTACGACGACGACGACTACTACCACTACCACTACCACTACCACTACCACCACTACCACTACCACCACTACCACTACCACTACCACTACCACTACTACTACTACTACTACTAGTACTACTACCACTACGACGACGACTACTACTACTACTACTCCTACTACTACTACTACTAGTATTACTACTACCACTACTACTGCTACTACTACTACTACTACGACGACGGCTACTACTACTACTACTACTACCACTACTACTACTACTACTACTACTACTACTAGTACTTCTACCACTACGACGACGACGACGACGACTACTACTACTACTCCTACTCCTACTCCTACTACTACTACTACTACTACTACTAGTATTACTACTACCACTACTACTGCTACTACTACTACTACGACGACGACTGCTACTACTACTACTACCACTACTACTACTACTACTACTACACCAACTACGGCTAGTAGTGGTAGTGGTAGTGGTAGTGGTAGTAGTAGTAGTACTAGTACTAGTACTAGTAGTAGTAGAAGTGGAGGTAGTAGTGGTAGTGGTAGTAGCAGTAGTAGCAGCTTCACTGAACTATATATTAATGTTTCATGATTTTGTTATACCAAACACCTCGTCTTGAACGAACGCCACCAAAAGAGTTGTTGGAAGCTAATTATTGGTGCAGCAGGGTTCTTGCAATCTGTGTTCAGTCTGTTTTGTATATACCGACGGTAGTTTCTTTCTTTTTGTCGGGGGGGTTGTTACTTAAGAATCACAGGATTTTTCGTCGGTTGGCCCCTCCGGTTACAGTGCTTGGTGTATTTTGAGGCTTTATATAAGTATGCACTTAGAGAGTTGCAATGATTGACGCAGTCTTGTGATGTCGTGTGTGTGTGATCATGTGCTTCGGAGGAGGCTTGACACAATGTTTAATTCTTAACAGGTCCGTACTACTCAAGGGCATAAGTTGTGCCACGACCCGACTGACATCCACTCAAACCCATCAAATCCAGCACCGCGCTTCTGATTCACATCTTCCGCAAAAATGAGCCTGGAAGACTCAAAACAAAAGCCCCAACTCCTCAAGCCCTCACGAAACATCTGCAGTTCAGCAGCCTTCATCTCCACCAGCTGCCTTCTCCACCGTGCCGTGGCCCGCCCCCCTCCATCCGCTGCCGTAGCTCCGCACGAAGCTCACGTGAAGAGGTGGACGAAGCGATCCGAGAATTCACAGCCATCCTGACCGCTGGTCCCGCAGTTTCACCCAAATGTCACCCAGCTCTCTTGGCGTGTTTGTCGCAGTGTTGCTCTCTTGGCAAGCTAGAGAGGCCCCCCAAAAAGCACAGTCATGTTGATCCTATTGCACCAAGTGTAATTGCACATACAGTAAATGGCATGGAATGGAATGGGCTTCTATGGACTTTGTGTTTCCTGCACATTGTTTTTTTTGGGCAAGCCGAAAGCAGTTGCCCAAGCGCCTGGCCCACGCCCAAGCCGTTGCGCACGCAGTCGGGGAGGCAAGCATTGTGTTGGCGCCACTGGCAGTGCAACAACTGTCCACGGGTATGGCCATAGATCTTCTCACCAGGGCGGTAGTACCTTAGGATCATCTGGAGGAAAAAAACACCTGAGAATGTGACTAGATGTGACTAGCAAATACTATACCACGGGGTTGGGGGGGGGGTTGGGGAACTCCCTGTAGCTTCTTGGCTCCCTACAGATGCCTGCCGGCTCCAAATCGCTCCCTCCCCTCCAGCCAGCTTGATCAGTGATTGCATGGTGATTTGGGGACAGTCGACCCTAGAAACTGGTGGAAGATATCTGATATCACCAGCGATTTGAGACGAGCCAGCCGCTTGGGGTCCATGGTACCAGCCACCTGGCTGCCACCAACGGACCAGCAGACCGGCCACCTGACGCCGATTTCGTCTGATCTTCGACTTTAGAGCGCTATATAAGGGTTCTGCGACTGAGTGTTCATGTTCACAATATATGTTTGGTTTGTGATATTTTACTGCATGCTGCATGCCCCGTAGTTTTCCAAACTCTTTCTTCTGCGCATGTTTGCTTCGCCTAGCCTCCAATCCGCGACGAATGATTCCCAACCACTTCTCCCCCAATGGCAGCCGACCACAGAAACTCACCACAGTGTGATATTGAGCGCCGATCCTGCCACAGCCCTCAATTCAAAAGCACATCATAACAAAGAATCGACCATTGCCCACCAGTTCCTTCTTCCACATCCAACAACTGATAATCATACTAAACTGTAAACCATAGAGACTCATGATGAACCCCACTCCAGGACGATCCATGACTTTGTTCAAACATACCATGACGATCCAACCATCAACCAAACCGCTTTTTGCCCGCCGAGCTGCCAAACCGCACCCATGAGCTGGTCACGAAAGAAGTTCACTCGAAGTCCGCACAGCCGCGCGCGGATGTCGTAGGCGCGAACCTCCTGCCTCAGTGGCTGCCAAAGAGAGGATTGCGCAGCTCGGCGGAGCAGCTCAGCGGACAGGAGGCAAAAACGGTTCCTTCAGGGTGTCCGGTGTCCCAGTGCCATGACTGGCCATGTGTCTGTTTGGCCATGAGTCTAAGAGCCTGAAGAACACGTCATGTGAGATTCGGTCAACCATGCCGGACCCGATGTGGAACAAAAAACAATGCTTTTAAGGTGAGAAGCGCAGTTAGACCCGACCTACGCTCCCGACCTGGGCTCCTGCGCTCCCGACGGTCACGTCCCAGGCACGGGCCCGAAATCCAGATGTCCATGCGCGCGGTGTCCTCCAGGGTGCGGAAGACCACGCGGTCGCCGCGGAGGATGTAACTGTAGCCTGGAGAGGTCGCCACGATCGCCTCTGATCGCCCTGAGAGTTTGGGTCCCAGTGTGCTCTCTCTCTCTCTCTCTCCATCGACCGAACTCCAGGAGATTAGCCTTTGGCGATGGGCGAGCAAAGGCCCAAAGCCCTCGATGTGAGCGTGAGCGAGCAAGTGTGGACACAAGCCGCTTCATCTCCCCACACCAGGGTAATGAAGCATATGGTTATGTATGAGTATATTATCATCCACAAGGACATATACGGCAATGCGGGCAATGTGTATAATTCGCCGGTCCAAGTCAGCAAAAAGCAAAACACTAGGGCAGGGTGTGACCGGACCGAGTAGGAATGTATGGCATCTTTACAAGGGCAGGGTGTCCATCCGGCATTGGATCACTTTCCCAACATGCAACCAGCAACCCAAAGAACATCCAGCAGTTTGACGGGTCAAACCCTTTTCTGGAACACCTTTGTTTTATATGTTCGCGGCTGGTAACCAGTTGTGTGACTAGACGCAACCTCAAATTGAGAAAAGCATGTTCTTCAAGGGAATCCGTCGAAACGGGTCTATCAAAACTTGCCTACACAAGTCACGGAAAACCCCCTGTTGGCGAAAAGAAGAAACCAGGGGGCCATGTTCCACATCCATTATCATTTTCAGGGAGTGAGTTCGGGCCGTTTGGAAGAATTGCTGGTTGTTTTAATGGATAATGCAAGAGTTTAGGTCACTAACAGTTCCAAAAATGTTAAAACATATTAAAACCCAAATGAATCACTTGGAACTCTAGAAACCAAACATGTTCCACTGGGATTTGATTAAAAAACGGCAGCTGTGCGCTGCCAAGAAGCCCATCCTCTTGAGCCTCTCCTCGTGCTCCTCTAGCAAGCTACCTGAGGTCTTTCCACTGAACCCACGAATCTGCATCTGCTCAAGAAATGTTGGTCTCTGCGACGGAACTTATTATTAAGGAATATTAAAGATCCCTATCTCAAACTTCAAACTGGAAAGACTCCCAATTTTGGAACTTACTATTAAAAGGCAAAGGAGGTCCCGCGGAGGGGCGTCCCCCCATTTGGGCGGCTCGCCAATATGCGGGACGTTGCTACAACTTGAGCCCAAATTGAAGTCTTTGAGTCTTAGATGGTGGTTGAAGCTTGACAATTGCAGGCAGTTGGATGTGCTTCTTGTTCTGACTGGTCGTGGCTGAGTTATTGTGAGTTGTTCAGCGTTCTTGATGCGAGTACTGTGAAACAACATGAAGAAATACGAGGATGTATTGTACCGGCCCATGATGACCTAGTTCTCTGCAAAAACGTTTCCTTCAACATGCACTGTCAGAAAGGTTTTCTGAATTGTATGTCCTTGCGGTAGAACTCTTAGAATGACTCAATACTGATCGTATACACTCGAATACTGGCGTTATCTCCCATTAAGTCAGTGCCTCAAACCGCTCACCGAGTCGCCGATCACCACCGGGTGCGATGCAATGAAGTTCGCATCAATATCTGCATCCCAGGGAAACCTCTGAGGTTGGCGCCCACTTCCGTGGGTGGGTGGATCGATTTGAAGGGTCTACTTGGCAGAACATTGACCCAAAGTAAACCAACCAACCATATACAGCTGCATGATGAGGGCGACTTCCCTGATTTCCCTATTAGACACTCCATGCACATGTATGGTATGTTTATACGCCATTCTGCACATTCAGCGTTGTAGTACCGTACGTACTGGTGTTCCGGTCGACTTACTCTTTAGGCTGGAAAAGAGGTGCTGCATCGACAGCTGGATAGATGATGTCAACGTCCTGCCGCATCCGGGGAGGGGTGTTTCTTTCGATTTCAAGGCCATTGCAGGTGGTTAATGGATGTTAATGGATGTCCACCTCCCACTCTCAATTGACGTCGATTCGCGCGATGAATGTGGAGCCCACCTACCTGCCAAATTTGACCCTGCAAGGCTTTGCTTCCACGGACCTGAAAGGAACATATCAGAAATGGACCCCTCCTCTCTTCCCAGCGGTCACGGCTGGTCTTTGTACTGTGTTGCGACCCGGCGCACCAGGCGGCTGAGGCGGGCTGAGGCGGCGACAGCTCCGTCTCACCGCTACGGTACAAGTTCAGCACGCCTCGCTCCGCTGGTCGCCGTTTTTTGTTCCGCTGGTCGCTCCATTGCAGAATCATATATAGAATTGAAGATCTTGTGTCTTGGGTCTATGTGGATTGATTGAGGATGGGATAACAAGACCTCTAAACACAAGGGATTCAATTGCTCGGCAAGAAGTTTGGTTGAGTTTTACTGGGGATGTTGGAGAATCGGTCGGATGCAACCCATTTGCTTGCCATACTCACGTGGACACCCGCAGTTCTGCAGTCATCATCGAAGCCGCAAACTGTGGATCAAACGTGTTCAAGAAGTATAGCTTGAAGCTTGATAACCATAACGCCGTGAAAAAGCCAGCACCAGCCTGGTGCACCATACCTTCTTGTCAAGCTATGAAATGATATAAGACCTTTGAATGGACGCTGGGGCCCTGCGACCGCATCCCTGTGCACGAGGGCACTGGCGGACACTGGGACGATGATGTGTTGTAAAGGGTTCATCTGTAGCCACCATCCTCCAACCTCAGCATGAGAGCAGTCCAAAACAGTGCCAACTGGTTTTTGTCATGAGGTACTTGAAGGCTTCCTTCATGATCCGGGATCAAATAGAAATCACCCAATCAAACCCTTGAAGCTGGCAACGAACTATATATAGAGCGTTCCAAGAGGAAGTGTTTAGATGTGAAATGATATGAACAAAGGTTATATTCTGGTTGGTGTTTTCAACCCGCTTGAGACATATTAGTCAGAGGGTCCAATCATCCCTAAGTAAGAGTTGAAAATAAAACATATCCGAAACCATCACCTAGTATTACCCTTCCTCCACTTCCATGCCTAGAGGAAAATAGAAGAACATGGGTCTTTCCTGTGAGACCTCGCGTGGCACCGCGTCGAGCTCTCGCGGCAACGCGGGGCGTTATTAGAGCGCCCAGCGACGTCGCGGAACATGCGCCATAAGGACTTCCTGCAGCGTCACGGGCACTGTGAACTTGTGTCCAACGAGGTTGGACCAGCTGGTCTCAGATAGGTGGACCCTTAGACCAGCTTCCTGCTGTCCAAACACATCTCATGGCTCGTCCTGGTGCAGTAGCTCACCACCACCCCATGGCTGTGGGTGAAAGACCCTGCTGCTGCGATCTCCGGGAACAAGCAATGCTCCAGTGGCGGGCCTGCTGGCAGGGTGGAGAGTGTGACGTGGCGCAGCATGTAACTAAGAGAACTCAATCTGGAGGGGAAACAGTCCAACTCATGACTGAGGTCAACTCATACTACAGTATGTGGGTCATTGGGGCAACTCACGATTGCTGGAACAGAATTGAAACTACCAAATAGTTAAACGAGTCTTGGCAGTCTTGACAAGATTATTCTGAACAATTTAACATACACCCAGCAAGAACCAACATGGAAGCCACAAATCTGTTGTCAATTCACCTATATAAAGGTGTCCAAAGGTATCAAATTCACATCATTCATCATGATTTCTGATTTGTCGCTCGTTGCGGCCTTGCAGGAACCGGGCTGCTTCGATGTGGAAGGTGCGTGAAATCCGTGGGGTCAATCGAGCGCCCTGCGGGCCGAGGCCGAAACTCGGTCTCCGTTCTTGGGATCAAAGAGCAGTTTTGGCAAGGAGTTCAACGATCGCAGCTCTTCTAAGGCCGGGTGTGTCCGGGTGCCCCCGGACCTGCAGTGCTTGATGGGGACAAGTGATGTCGATGTCAAAGAGAGCAACTTCTGGGCATCTTGTCATGCCGCCTCTCTATAAGTGCACTGCTCTGGCTTTTTCAAAAGACATCCGCATGACACCCTGGCTAACTTTTGGATCGTATTGTAATATACCAACATATACCACCATTGCCATCATTGATAGGACTTGGCATGTCTTTCTGTACTTGGGTCATCCCTGAACCACTGTGGACCAATTCCTCTTAGCGGCTGCTTGGTAGTTCTGCTCCAGCGAAGCCCCATTCCTCAGAATAGTACCGTGTCAAGATGTGTCTTGGTAGTCTGCACTGGTGATGTGGCTAGGCAGGCCCAAAGCGCCCGTCCATGCAAACTCCAACAATCCGATTTTAAGTCTTAACTACTAACAACCTTGTAACATGACTCACACAACTCTGAGTGGTTGGTACCCAAGTAGGGGCCCGGGACTTTTCCACGATTGGATATGTCTTTTCACCGTCTCCCTGAGGCCCTGAGGCCCTGAATACAAGCCTTTCAAGTGCAGAATCGGACAGGCGGAACATGCGCGGAACATCCGAAAATCAGCTAATAGACATGTGACATGTGCATCGTGAGAAACCTCGTGTTCGTCGGTGTTCTTCTTGCCTGGGCTGTTTTGAAACTTCAGCCTTGGTGCTTTAAAAACGCTGGCATACCACTGCATACTTTAAATACAGGAATTGGCTATAGATCCATATAGATCCGGGTCCTACTAGTAGAGTCCTACATATCTTAATTCGTTTGTAGCCCTCAATTTTCGACCATGGCTCAGATAGGTGTAGGCCCTGAGCCCCATCTCTTTGCCCAGCAAATCCAACATCACCAGCCAGTCTTCCGCTCCCTGCGGGGGACGCCACCGGTGCGGGTGATCCGAATGAAAGGGGACCATACTGGACCAGTGAAGGCTACATCACTCAGCTGAAACATTGGTCAAGTATTGCTTAGAGGAGTAGTGGCCTTCCCAACCTTGGGAGTAGTATCCTATAGTGTCTACTTTTGATTCAAGTCTCCAGAACAAGTCTCTCTGTCTCACTCTCTCCGACTTCTGTCCCACACGAAGACGTGATATAGAACACCACGAACCCAAACCCAAACACTCCATGTATGCCATATATGCCTACATTGACCCCCAAAACCACCCCAATGTAGGCATGTATGGCATACATGGAGTGTCTGGGAAATGGACCTATTTCCCGGATTTCTTTGCAAATGCTTGAGAGTCAGACTCTGTCGGTGGCAGCCTGTGCAATAAATTGCTGGCAGTGACCCAAATGGACCCCAAATGAAACCTTGCAAACTACTGGACTCGTTGAGATCTAAATGGCAACTATTTCCGTCCCGAAGTAGCACCCTCCGCTTTGCATGGCCACCTCGGTTCCGTTTTGGGCAATTCTTCCCAGTGCCTCGTCCTCACTTCGCAGGGCTGCCTCAAGACTTTGCCGTGTGACTCCTACCAGGGAGTGCTTGTTCCTAGGTCCTAGTAGCGATGCCCTTTCCTCCTAGTAGCGTCCGAACGCTCCTAGTAAGGCCAGGAGCCCCTAGTAGCTTCTTGCTCCTAGTGGCCCAAGTGCTTGCCAACAAATCTTTAAACCAAGTCCACTCGATTTCCGCACAGTGTATGCAAACACGTGCGGAACCGTATTGCTCATGGACAAGGCAGCAAAAAGTGGTCGAAGCCGTCCGCGCTCGCGCAGCGTCCTGCCGACGCGAAACCTGGCAAACTCGGCACGTACTCACGCTCCCTCTCGGCCAGGCGCCTCATCAAACCTCATCGAATCTATCGGACGGGAAGACGTTCCAGCTACGACCCGACGTAGAGGCACGCTTCATCACGGATGTGATGAAATGTACATCACCGTGCTATCGCCATGCCCAAGCTAGGTGGCTTGGCCTTTTGGCATTGGAGCCATCAGGGTGGACATTCACCCTCATGAATACCAACTCCCAATGAAACTGTTGAACAACGTAGGCATCCTGAAGTCCTCCCGTTGCGCGTTTCCAACAAGTCGCCCACGAAGCTCTTGGTTCCGTAGACACGGGTGCCGCTGGTGGTGTCACCCACCGCCCAGAACTGTGCCAAGGGAAGGAAGGGAGACGTCTCGTGGCCCGTGGCATACCTCGATATGTCGGACCGACTATTTAAAACGAGCGGTCGCGAAATCATGGCATGGCTGGTTGTTGACTGGAAATGGCTGGATGTTTTTATCACACACGCTTTTCAAAGTGCTTTGACTTCCAAGTGCTCAACTGTGCATTCCTTCACCTCGCTCGCTTTGGAGGACGTGCATGGATCGGTCCAGCATGTATATGCCCCGTGTTCTCCAAGCTCTAGCTTCACCAACGAGCGGCTCCTCATATGCCAACTTCCAATACTTGTGGGTCACGCGTCGCCTGAACGGTGCGTTTACGGGCAATCCCTTCTTCGGAGCCTCATGGAACAGCTCTGGCGGATGGCCAAAACCTTCACCATGTCGCGAATGCAGTGAATGAGCCCTGCCCTCAAAGCTTTCCTGAAACCAATGCCCACACCTGAACCACTCCCGCTCACATCCAGAAACCACTCCCGCTCACACCAGTGACGCTGGGCCAGGACTGATCTGATTCAACAACGGATGTGGCTGCCCCACGGATCCCGTCGTGCAAACCTGGCACTTAGAACTTAGAATATATCGAAGTGTCAAACCTGGCAGTGACAGGCACTGAAGTCTTGGGATTGATCAGGTGGATTCACCCGTGTTGACCTCAAACCCAACACCCACGTGGCAGCAGAGTTGCACTGGCCAGTTGAAGATCCGGGAGCTGTTGATCGTGGCTAAGCCCGCCCAGTCCACCTCTCGTGCAGCTTGATGGCCTCGATGTGAAAGTTAGCAATCAGCATTCGCACCACGCTCCCATGCAGTCTCACTTGCACCCTCCAGAACCGGAATATATACTTATTGAAACCGCCTCCAAAGAGCAACAGGAGCCCAACTCCTCATAAATCCTAAACCATTTATATATGCTAATGCCCATCAGCACAAACGAATGATTTAAGTTTCAGGAACACATCGAATTACCCTCTACTTTGACACCATTGAAGTTGACCAAACCCCCAAGCGTCTCCCTCGCAGATTCTCAAACCAGCCAGAAAACACCGCTGAGGAATCACATCTTTTTCAAGCCAAACGTCCGTAGATTCCCCGATCGGTGGCCGGAATCGGTCTCCCAAACCGGATCGTGACCTGCTCTGGTAGGGCCGCCCTCAGGGCCCTCGAGACGCACGAGAAGTGGAACAAGAGGCGCTCGTGAAGCAAACGCCGGAGGTCATGGGCCAAATCCTCTGTCCAGGTCCAAGTGCCACTGCTTACCTTGTGCGACAAATGCGTTGAATTGGTGTGGGGGACTACGTTATACTTCCGATGACTTCCGTGGTCTCAAGAAAGGAGTCGCGTTTCTTTTGCCTGAAGCCGTATCCCCTCTGGGACAGCAGTGTTTTTCCATGTCACCACCCTGTGAGCATCCAGAACATCAGGGGAACTCAATAATCTGGGGCATTGGTGCTGTCCGCGGCGCCAGCAGCGTGGTCCAGGACGCCATTGGCCTCAAGCTTTGAAGTGCTTGGCCCACTGACCTGGAGCGGTGAAGTCGCTGCACTAGTCGCTCCATATCCGCTTGCCCCCCTGGTAGAATTGGATCTTTCAATCGAGAAGGCGAAAGCCAAGACGCCAAGAGGAGGCTTGGAAGTTGCGAGCTTGCGTCGAACGGTTGCAGGACGTGAACATGTCCTTAAAACCCCTATGGGAAGCAATGACAAAGTCCGAACATCTCAAATCCCAGGCAATCAAAAAAGAGCTTGTCGCAAGGTAGTCATAAAACCTTTCGGTACAAAGAATGAGAGCACTGAGATTGGGCTGTTTGCAAGCGTCCTGAGTCCTGAGATGTCCGCCGATCACATGTTTGCTGCATTAGTATACAGTCAGGGACAGGCAGTTAGAATATAAAATCAATAAAATAGGTATACTTTTAGCATATTCTGACTGCCTGTCCCTGATAGTAGTGAATGGAGGCAACAAGGCATGACTTTTGTGGACATGACTTTAGTGCCTGAGACGTGCCGAACCCGGGCGGACGAGGAGAACCGCCGGACCCGGACCTGTAGTGCTCGAAACACTCGGGTGCTCGATGGCCAGCATCCGTCTCTTGCAGCTGGAAGTGGATCAAGCACTCTCCTGAGCAGCGTCCCACGATGGTGTTGTGGAAAGAAAGGAATTTTAGTGTTTTGATGTTTTGCAGGTGTTTTTAACAGAATTTGAAACCACGCCTCTTGATGCCTGTTTGTAGGTTTTTGTTGGGGGAGATCTGTGAGTTTCAATAGAGAGCACGAGCTTGGTTTGACGAAGATTTCTCCATTGAATCTCCGACTGTAGTTGTCTGACTCATTGGCCTTGTTGCCCCTATATCCGGAATCAAGTGTTGGAGCAAGCCACCTTGTATGCCTTTGCAAAGCTCCTCCAGATTTGCTTCAATTGGAAGTGACCCGCAGTAGACTATGTCCTTGGCGCGGGCGGTGCAACATTGGTGCGAGTTCTGGTTCAGGCGTGAGTCACAAGGTGAGTCATTGACATGGGCACCCAACCTTCAATGGGAAAGCGACTAATTCAGCTGGCGGATCCAAAACTAATTCAAAAACATCAGCTCAACCAACACCAGCATCTAAGAATCCAATACTGCAAGGTTGTTCCCAAGGACCCCAGAAAACACATCATTTGCTGTTGTTTCCTGCACTCCGCCTGAACTTAACTAGCTAGAACAAAGAGTAAATAGACTCAGATTCTGGTCAATGAGGGCCGGTCAGGCTAATGAGCCCATCAAAAGCCTCCAAACCCCCTGATCCAAGAAACATGCCCCACCCAACCAAGCAAATCATTGGAAAACACATGAAAACACCACCGGCACGCATCCAACCCCAAAACCACGAAGGCCAACCCGTCAGCACGGCTCTACACGGGCCAAGGCTCTACACGGCCCTGTCGCATCCAAGCCCGGTGGTACTTCTGGTTCGCTTGCTCCACTCGCAGTAGAAGCTGAGGCAACGGCGGGGTGAAGATGGCCTCCGAGGTCACGGCTGGTGGTGGGCTCTCTCGCAAGCCCATATGAAGCACTCAGAAACACGATGAAGCACTCAGAAAGAGATTCTTCTGGTGGCTGGTGGTGGCAATCAATCTTCAACTACTTGGTCACCCCGCAAAAGGTCGGTTCTTCTCTTCATCTTCCTGCATCTCGCCTTGGGCCCTCCAGTGTGCCGGCCGGCCACCAGGCGCACCGCCGTCTGGGTCTGCGCCAGGAAGCCCACGTCGAGGCCTCGACCGATTGGCAGAACCCATTGGCATAAAGCGTTTTTGAGGTCAATAGCGATGGCCTCCACCCTAATTGCCATGGCCTCCACCCTAGGAAGATCATGTCCAATGACTCACTTATTGCTTTATGTGACCTGTCGCTGCCTCTTGCTACCAAAGATTGAAGGTGATGTCTTTGTGGCAAAGCCACGGCATTCATCCAATCCAGGGCATTCAAAAACACTCCCGATATTCAAAAGCTTCTTGCAAATCGGGCAAACCAGCTTCCGCTGTGACTCTTTAAGTTGATGACTGATGACTACAGTCAATCACACCCCCAAATGAACAACAACTACACCCCGGACACTGGACACCAGCCGGCACTAGAGACATTTCATGACATTTTTGTCCACACTTCTTTCAATGAGTTTGTCCTCAATGGGCACATGTTGATGTGTTTTCTCTGCATCAAAGCTCTGCGTCAGTTGAGTTGTAATGTATGTTACTCGCTTCACCGGCCGGATTTCAGCCCATATTCCCAACGATTTCTTTGCCCAAGTACAAAAGGCCCGCCAATATGTCCTTCGATGTCCTCCCATCTTCTTCTCACTGTTTTCCAGATCTTCCCACAGCAGGGGGTGAATCCGCCCCCTAAAACGCCGACCACCGCTGCGCCTGGCGCCCATCCTAGCTGCAAAGCGTTTCCGCCACTCCGCAGCCCAGCAGCAGTCAGGGCGGCACTGGCGGCTGCGCGTGCGAGGGCACAGGCGTGGCGCAGCAGTGGGGCAGCGTGCGTCCTGCAGTAGCTCTGGCTCCCCCACACACCATAAACATCAAAAACAAGCTGCCTCGAACGCCAAATGGGAAGCCGTTTGGAGTCCGGCAATGGCGTGCCCCCCAAAAACTCACAGAGGCTCTGCTTTTGCTCTGCTTTTGAAGCCGGAAAGCACGAGTCACGACCCGTCTTTGCTTCAACCCATCCCACCGGTCGTCAGCTGCTCTGGCTGGCCGATGAGGGGCTCCAACTGGGCCAGTGATTCGACGTCGCAGTTCTCGGGGAGCGAAGCTATCTCGCCTTCTTCGGAGGCGAGAAAGAGCGAGAAGCGAGACAGGGGGCTGGAGCCACCGGGCACAAAAAGGTCTTCAGCGGTTCTGATCAGGTGCAAGAACCTTCTCCGGGTGTGAAGGGGGTGTGAAAGTAGGTGGTTCAAAAAAGAACAAACATATACGTTACAATAACATGAAATAATGTTGTCCCTATGGGGGCACATGCATGACAACATCATCTCTCTAGCTTATTCTAGCTTGTCTGTTTGACTGCATGTATGCATCTGGGTAAAGTTTGCAGAATGTTGTAGTAAAGCCATGTAAAGCCGACCTAATCTTGACATAGTGGTGCTAGCTATGCCAAAAGATTGGCTTTCAGTCACCCCAAAACACCTGCACCCTCACCAAAGGTGTGCATGCAGGAACCTGTGGTCGAAGGTTTGGGCAGAGCGCAAATCTGCCAATTAATGGTTTGCTTGTTTGTTCGTTGTCGAACTGGCCATGTTGTTAGTTGCACTGTCCGGGTCACGGCGAAAGGACTCCCTATATGGCATAGCAAATGCAAAACTTAGCATGACCATGTTTATATACATATGATGTTGAGGCATGTTGAGGCAACATGATACGACTCCGTGTTGCATCGTTCCACGCTTGGTCATTTCAGCAGTAGAACCCGTTGCTACCACGTACGTGCAACGTGTATATAGACGACCGAGATTGTTTTGGTTTCAGTCACGAGCGCGCCCCCTGCAGCAGACTGTTCCGCTGGAGTGCCCCACGCCTCCATACAAGTCTGCAACTAAACCCATGACCTCAAAGACAGGCCAGCCAGCCGCTAGGGCCTCGCAGCTGCTAAAGAGACGTCGGTGTCGGCGACTTGCGGCGTCGCCAAATCTACGAAGCTTCGTCGATCGAAGCGACGCTCAAAGCATCCGAGTCCCCAAGCCGAAGAGCAAACCCATCCCATTAGGAGGCCTGACTCGGAAGAGTTGAATGTAACACGTATTACGTAACGTAGTGATCAATAGCATTAGCTCAATTGGATCTGCCAAAACAAAGATGTATGCAGGATGCACGTAAAAGGCTTCGGTTTCAACTGAGCAACCTCCACTCCCATCCAAACCAACATGAATGCATGAAACATTTTGAAACCAACTCTCTAACCACTCCATCAAACCCCACTGATCCAGAAACCAGAACCGAGACCCAATGTGTGTGCCTCTGTCCAGTTGGTGCCATGGACCAGGCCCAACAAGTCTTCCTGGACTTGGAGCTGTTGGGTCAAGGAAGAATGATGGAGAGCAAAGCTCTATATCTTAATTCAGATCTCATCCACATGTCCACTTTAGAGGGGTAGAAGTGGATGAAAGGTAGGGCATGAGAGTATGAAATTCACAGCATTTCAGGCTGTGACGTCCCATTCCTCAAATGGGACGAATACATTGTGCTAAAGCAAAGAGAAGTCAAGTAGCTTAGGCCAGGCGACCTTTTGTGTTATTTTTGCTGGATGTTTGTTCTGTCCGAGGTTTGGCGGGGTGTTCTCCAATCTCTGGCCAGGTGAATGCCTGATTGGAGAAGCCAAACCGAAGAAATTACGATGGAGCGACCCAACTCACTGCATCCACCATCAGATTTGGGCCTCCTCGTACAAAACAACGTTCCTGACAAATGGTATGGCAATGGTGTGCTATCAGTTTTCTTCCCTAAGAGAGACTCATCAGTGATGCAAGCTGAAAATGATGTCTTTCATTGGCTTTTGGTGCCAAAAACACTGAGTTATCAAGTACCTTCAGGCACTAAAACCACCCCTTTCCGCACAAAAACACCGTCGCCTCGTAGCGCACGAACCAGGCATTCCAGGGAAGACCAGAGTACAAGACCGACACCAAGACCCTCAAGCAGTGGCGCCCCAAGGGGCAGCGGCTACGCTCAGGCAATACCTGGGGGAGGTGCTTTGGTGAAATGGGGGGGAGCAACCTCTCTGGCGACCTTTCTGGTGGGAGCAATCATCAACCCCCCTGCAAACCAACATAGACCATGGTTTTCAGAGTACATAGTATTCTGCAGCCATCTCCTAAACTTTAAACCCAGCCAACATAGCTTTACAAGAGGCCCTTCAGTCGTTGGGACCACAAGTTCAAGGAGATTGGGCCCCGCACTCTCCATTCCATCCCTTCAGCTTGCCAACCGAAAGCATCCGAAAGCATCCCATCGCATCAGGTGCAAGCACTCTCAAGAAGTTGAATAGAAGTTAATAACACTAGCCCTCGTTCTTTATGTGGGTGTGCATTGGAATAGAGATGAATAGAGAGACCCCCCCAACTTGTAACCTGCTTTGTCACTACCCATGTGAATCTACCTATTCCGACTACCATATATATATATATATATATATAGTGTGCAAAGTGCTTCTCCGGCCGATATAGAAAAGTGAAGGACTTCCTCAGTGGCTCGATGGGTTTGCAACAAACCCATTGCAACCAAAACCAGTGACAAATACAGGAGTTGATCACCCCAGCATATTGAGGGCAAAAAATCCAAAAAGATCTGTCTACCCCATTCCAACTGGCCCTGTGCCACTCCCAGTCACCCAAAGCCTCCGAGAGCAACAAAGACAAACCATGGTTGAAGACTGAAGCGCTGGTGCTTTATTTAAAGGGGAACCAGAACCAAGTTATTCACCTGACCTGAGCATTGGACTGGAATTCTGGGTGAGAGGATCGCTCCACATAAACTCCAAGCACAATTGATATGCCAACATCATGTACCTCCAAAAAGATCGAAGCATCGCATGTAGGCTTCAATACTACCATCTGAACTGCCCAAAACACACCTCACTCGACTTTCCAGTCATTGAACAAACGATTATGGCCACGCCTTCCGCCTCCCTCCCAATAGGCGCGCTTGAGCTGCGCTGACCTCGCTGAGCGACTAAGACCAACTTCTGAAATCGCTCCAGGTGCCGCTGCAGCTGCACATCCCCATAGGACACCGCGGGGTCCCGGCCTTTGGAGTCCTCAACGGAAGAAACAGTCTTCAGAACGGGTCCTCCACCAGGGAAAAAAACACAAGAAACAAAGGAAACAAGACATGGAAAGTTCCTGGACATCCGCCCTATCTTTCCTTTAACAGTGGTTAAAATGGGTTTGCTCTTTCAATTGTTTGTCCTTCATTTAGAGCAACTCAGAGGACAACTTGCACCATCCCTACCAAATGGATGATACATGTTCATCAGACCGAACAATGCACAAAGCTACAAGTATGGACAATGCAAACCAAAAAAAATGTTCAGGCTTAAACTAAACATCATATTGCCACAAAAGTCTCACATCCCAAACCAGGTTTTAAGCAGTAACTCAGTAACAAAAATGTTCCACTTCCCTACCATGCAGAGGTCACTTTCCAGTCAGCACCCCCCAGCTCTGCTCCAGTCAGTAAGCTCACCCCCCCGCCAAACCATCCCCACCCAGTCCGTTTCCACTCACCGCTTCACCCGCGCGCTCCGCCGCGCCTTCGCCGCATGGAGGTCCCGCGCTAAGGCGCCGTGATGCACCTCCCGCAGCGCGTGGCGCAGCTCGGAGCGGATCACATCCCAGCGAACGCCCTCCTCCTCCACACCTGTGCCTCGGACCGAGGGGGTCAGTATAGGTTGAGCTTGCGCGAACCAAGCGCCAAGGTAAGACTGAGGTGTGTGTGTGTGTGTGTGTGTCACCCCCTGTACCAAAGGGTCCAATGCCACCGTTTC